CCGGCCCCCCTCGTCTGCCGGGGGCCACCCTGCGCCCGCTCCCGACAGCACCGTGAGGCCCGTGTCCGTTCGCTGCCCTTTGTCGGGTTGAGAAGATTTCTTTCTCTTCCCCGTTTGTGACGAGGCTTCTTAAATACTGTTCGTGGAAGTTTCATGCCATCAAATCCGTTCTGTGTCCGCGAAGAGACAACCGTCCAGCTCAGCCCTGTGGCCACCTCACGATGACCTGATCACCAATGACCCTCGCGGTCCCAGCCCTCGCTGCCATGGCCTCTGGGGCGCCAGGCCCCACTCTGGGTCTCGAACCCCGGGCCCGTCCAGAGCGAGCGCTCCCCCCGGCCTCCCCCTCCCTGGAGCACAGCGCGCCTCTTCCCTGTGCGGGCGGTTATTACTGTCCTGCCGTGTGACATCATAATAGGCTGCTGTCCCAGAACACAAAAGCTCTCGGAGACGGTGAGGAGACACGTCCTATTTACGCCGTCACTGACTAGACAGCGGTGGAAACGGGGGGGGGGGGGGAGAATAAACATCTGTATACCGAGAATAACAATGACATTGTTCTCTCTTTTATCTCTGGAGTCTGCCTAAATTACGCCCTGTGTGCGCGCGTGCAAAAGTGGATTAATAAAACCCATTGAAATGCAAAGCACAGGGCCCCCCAGACAGGCAGCTCGAGGCCCCGCCCTCAGGGCACCTCCGTCCACACTCCCCCCAGGTCCTCTCGGGCAAACTCGAGGGGCGTCGACGACCTCCATGGACCAGACCCGGGACTCTGAGGGCGGCTGGAGCCGCCCCCACCCCCCAAAGACCAAAGGGGGGTGCCCTGCAAGTCAGAGAATGTGCCAGAATCACACAGTCCCGGGCTGGGGGGCTCTCTCGACATGTTACTTCCACCCTTATTTCAAACAAGATAAGTCCAAGGGAAGTTTTATTCCCACAAAACACACATCACAGCCAAACATTCCACCCGTGTCCTGCACCACATTTCCCAGCAACACGCCGAGGCCGGTGGCTCATGCCTCGCGCTGCTCGCCGAGGACAGAGTTGGGTGCGTGTCGGGCCTCCCCGAACCAGCCTGGGCACATCCCAACTTGGGGGGCGGCCCGCCCACCCAGCAAGGGGGCTGCGGGTGCCGGGTCATCCCGCGTGCTCCATAGACCCTGCGGTGGGCAGTGCCCGGAGGGGGCGAGCATTCTCCTGACCCCCTCCCTTCCCCGGGGGCGGGGAGAACATCGCTTTCTGCTGAGCAAGGTGTTTCTCATCCACAACTGGGGAAATAGCCCGGCTCTGTGGAAAGGGTTTCTGCGAGTAAGAAACAAAGGGGACGACGGCCCCGCGCATCACTGCTCAGCCTGTGACCCCTGCCGCAGGACACGGGAACAGCCACCGCACCAGAGCCGCCACTAACGACCCCCAGACGGAGCTGTCCAGCCGCGTGCGGCACCGGGCGCTGGGGACAGCGGGAGCCGCGACAACGGATGGGCACCGAGCTGGCTGTGCCAACCCACGCTGGGCGAGGAGCGGCGACTGTCGTTTGCAGATGCGCCTGGCAGTCAGGCCTCATTTGTTCTATTAAAAATGATATCAAATGATATTTCATTCTGCCCTTTGGTGGAAACGAAATGTTTACGACCCGGCCGTGTAACCGCGGGTGCGAATGTGCTTGCTCCCGGCTCAGGGCCGTGTATTGAAGGCCCGTCTGCTCCTCCTGCGAGGGGAGCACACCCCGTGCACACACCAGTTCCCCGGGAAGGCCCCAGGAGCCGCGCCCGCACCCGTGGCGCCTGTTACGCTCAGGCGGAGGCCCAAGCCCCGTGCGGAGGCTGCCGTGAAGGCAGGGGTGCTCACCGGAGCCTGCACGCACACAAAATTGTATGCACACGCGCGCACGTGCACCCACACACGCACACACACATCCAAACACCCATGTGTGTCCGTGTGCGGTCACACACGTGCACAACCAGAACATAGACTTTTGTGCACATGCACATATACACACATGTGCGTGCATGTGCACACCCAGAGGCACACCAACACGTGTACATGTGCACATGTCAGTGCGAAGGTGCACAGCCCAGGCCAGCGACCTGCAGCCAGCTGAGCACATGTCGCCCCTCCCCAAGGCAGAACCCCCTCCCACAGGTAGAATCCCCTCCCCAAGGCAGAACCCCCTCCCACAGGTAGAA